GGAAAGTAGATACAATTGGAGATAGTTTACAACATATTGACACCTTGATGCGACATGCCCCGTAACTAAATTGAATGTAATTACACAATGTGAGTGTCAGTGGCAGTTGGCTTTAACGCCGAACGGCATGGCTGTCACATCAGTGTTTTAGAACTTATAGTGCAATGAAAGAACGAAGTGTTGCAGGTCGTTGACGTGTAAGTTATTCCCATTCCCACTCGCACAGGTCATATGAGATTAAACAGTCAAAATACAGAACAGTCAGGATTTTGTTCCCGAAAGCGGGGGGCACGGGTAGCCCAGTCGTCTAAGGCGCCGCGATTCGCTGTGCGGAGTTGCGTCCCTTGGGCACGCCAGAAACCTATGATTGAGGGTTCGAATCCCAATTATGTTTCTAGGTTTGTCAGCACCATACCCGTGCTTGTGGGTTTCACCGAAGTGGTACACGTCTGAAACCTGCATCACTTCGGGCTTTCCTCCAACATTAAGCTGACACGCTGTGATATAACTGGAATACTGTTAAAAGCGGCGTTAAACCCAGCTCCCTCACTCACTCCTGAAAGCGAGAGAACATTATTGTTAAGACAAACTGAATAAAAGAGATCCAAGCAATTTGAATGATCTATGCAAGATATACTATCATTTCTATGGCAAGTAAGGGACGATAGTAGAAGCTAATTTCCTTGGAACATTCGGTTCGATACAAACACTAATATGTGAAGCGACACAGACAAAGCGCCGTAAAATATAACCCACTCACTTACGATGCACATAAACGTTTTGAAACATCATTCTGTTCTTAAATTGTGTGTTCTCTGGGATAGATGAAGCAATACAATGAACAGTGGATTTAATTCATATATTCATTTATCATGCTCTTAGCTATCTAGTTTGTTGAAACCTCTTCACTGTATTTCAGCCTCGATAAAAACACATTTCTGAAACACAAAGTAATCTTCCATGCGCCGAGAAGATATAGTCCGCGTGTCAACAGCAATATGGTTCAAAGACAGGGTCTATTCTCCAAACAGCTCTAGTTTTCTCACAAAACACGATGACGCTCTTGTCGAGATTTCTCTTTCATTACGTCATCGCGACACCATATAACAATAACTGCTAAACGTTTTCCCACTGGGTAGTGAAGTTCTGAAATAAAAATAATTCCAAAAAAAAACCCAAGACACAACTTTCTTTGAAGCGAACTCTGCACATTGATGTCTAGTGTTTAGCTATAAAAGAGCAAAAAAATAATAATAAATTTCAGTTTTTAAGTCATAGTAACAAGACAGGTCAAGCTTCTTATTACGTAAAGTACGCACGTATTATGTATTTTATTAATGGAACAAAGGACATACGATGACGCGCAAATCTACGTAAAATGTTTCGCATGTTGTTCGTTATGACATGCCCCGGATGTGTACACTGGGTGACGTTAGGTTGAGTACCACTTAACACTTGACGTTTTACAAGCAATTATTTTCATTTTTTGTTTAAACACTCTAGCACCTTAGTCTGTTATGTTTTGTGAAGGAAATCCAATTTCAGTAAATTTTCCTCTATCTGATTTCAGAGCCGATATCTATTATCAACGTTTTGCTTCGTAAATCTCGAGTTGATAGCCTGTCAAGATGTAACGTAGATTCAGTCGGTCAAATCGGACAACCGTCCTCACTCTCGTCTCGCCCTCCCGATCGACAAGAGCGTCATCGTGTTTTGTGAGAAAACTAGCGCTGTTTGGAGAATAGACCCTGTCTTTGAACCATATTGCTGTTGACACGCGGACTTGTAAATGAAGTTTTAGAGCTCCTAACAGCGCCAGATCAAACGAGCCTGATGAAGTGAGCAAATAGCCACGTTCATTCACAATTGCGCGGAGTAATATGGAGAAGTGATGTGGCAGACCATTCTAATCGATAAATCAAAGAGCGTAAAGGTTCCGAGTGTCACACTGCACACAAGTTGTTAATCACTCAAGCGCGTTTCTTTATCCTGGACAACTAATGATCTTGATCTTTTCTCTTTTACTAGAACCGGGGAGGGTGGAATAAAGATAAGTGCAATGTGGTTTTGTGTGTTATAGAGGTTCCGTGCCAGTGGTTAAGTTGTTATCTGCTGGAATCTTACCTCCACAGAACGGAAGGTTAGCTGGTGCGAAACCGTTCACAACATATTATTCACTCTAGTACCAGGAATACATTATGTTTTAATAGCATGTATTTATTATAATGAAACCTAGCAGTAAGTATACTCATCTAGAAGTCAAGGGATAGGTGTTTCTTCTTGGTTGATCATGCATTATTTCGCATTCCCAATTATCCATAGATTTATTTTCGCTTATTTGTTTTGCGGCTATGGAGGAAAACCAAAAACTGTTTTCATTAAATAATGAATGTTTGTACATCTGGTGCCGTCGTGTGAACATTTTGTAATGTTAGGTGTTAAGTTGCAGTGCTACCCCAACAAGAATACAACAGAAATGTCTTCGTTCAGCGGTCTTCTTGAACAGGCATCTGTGTCTTAAGTTGATTTTGATTTGTTGAACTTTACCGATGAAAACACTCATGCTAAGTATGTTAGTGGGGATGACAGTCATCCATGTGAAATGTTGGATGCTGTATACTACTACCACTACTACTACTACTACTACTACTACTACTACTACAACTACTACTACTACTACTACTACTAGTACTACTACCGCTGACTTGGTTGATGCATATCATCGTATCCTATTTGCATGCATCGATGCTCATGATATCAATCACTGGATAGTCTTGTCCAGACTCGATTATTTACAGACCGCCCTCATATACTGGATTTTTGCTGAATGCGGCGTCAAACAGCAAACAAACACATTACTACTACTACTACTACTACTACTACTACTACTACTACTACTACTACTACTACTACATCGTTTTTGATTACTTAGCTGACATATTTCACGGAATTCCAAATAAAATAAACAAATAAAGGGTTTCTTTGAAGGGATCTCGGTCGGTGCTGTGAAATGAAGGAAATTGAAATATAAAATAGAGAAAGAAGAGAATTAGAAGTAATTAGAAGTCAGATCCTTTTCCATATTGTCTTACTTTTATCTTACTTTTGTCTGACTTTGACTGGATGGCGAACAGATTCGGTGTTTATTTGATGTACCTATGTCGTATCCGTACACAAGGACCTAATTAGAACGGCCATGCAGTAAACAATCATCTGAGTATGTGTCGAGTGTAAGCCAACTTATATTGAGCTATATGACTGTAGATATAGATAGATTGCTTGTTGTTGTTTAACGCATCACTCAGCAATATTCCAGCTGTATGACGGCGGTCTGTAAGTAATCGAGCCTGGACCAGACAATCCAGTGATTGACACCACGAGGATCGATCTACGAGGATACGATGATATCCATCAACCAAGTCAGCGAACCTGCCCACCCGAACCCGTTAGTTGCGAAGACCAATTGTAACCCGGATCTTCACGGGTCGGCGCATGTAAAAGATGGAGGTAACAGTTACTGACAAGTCGACGGTGTGGACGTCAATGGATGACTGTCGATAAAACATGAAATCTGGTTCTTATGATGGTTGCACTATAATAGTTACTGTTATTACGACAATGCATTTTATAACTAAGGACTTTTAAGACAACCCATTTCAGTTACATATTTGGCCAAACACAGCTTACAGTTATTTTACCTGAGCTTACAAAATGTCAATCACCTGGCGTTACATCACATGCATGGGCAACATATAACGCTACCTTTAATATCTGACCCTGCTCACGCTCTGCGGTCTGCCAGCACTGAGCGCATGCTTGTGGGTTCCACAACATTGGTGACCATCTACAACATGTGTCGTTTTAGACATTCTTCCAATATTATGGTGACGCGTAGTGATAAAACTGAATTTACTATGTTGCGTTAAACACTCTCACTCACTCACTCACTAACTCACTCACTCACTCAGAGCTGTAGATGCACAGTGTAAGCGTTATCAGTTCAGAGATAAGTCTTTAATGAATTATGAAGAGAAATTATGATATATATGATTATTTGTTCTCCTTCTTGTTGTGTTAGTGTAACAAGATAGAAATTCTGCTGGTGTAAGCAAGGTTCTGTCACATGAGTGGGAGAGTCAATAGGCTATTCCTATAGGCAATATTCCATTCAAGTCACGGACAGGGGACATACGCGGTTTCCGAGTGGGATGCAGGATAGCCCCCACCCCCACCCCACTCCACCCCCATGCAATCCAATCATGTAGACTTGTAGAAAACAATATGAATAATTTAAATGGTGTCATGCCTTCAAAATACAATCATTATTTCACTTACCCTTTACAATAAAACACAAATTATTTCCCGAATTATGTGTCATTTAAAAAAATATTTTAAGTGCACTCCCTACTTACTCCCTACTAATAAAAAACATTTTAAGTGCACTCCCTACTCCCCTCCCCCCTTCTTCCCAGGAAGCTGTACCCTCGATAGGGAGACCCGCACACTGTGTGAGCCATGAGAAGAATCGAGCAAGGGTCTTGGGCACGAAGAGCCAAACGCTAGATGGAGATGTACGTGATTTCAAATAACTAGACTGAAACCGTCTGTTATTTCATATTAAGTCACCAAATTTGTCATTCATAATACTTTCCTTCCTTACACCATTTGTTTATAGACACCATTACTTCCCAGTGTTATGCCAGCTTAGTGTATAACGTTGAATAAGCAGCAACGCTGAAATATTGTGGATTGATAGTAAGCGTCCAAACGCGCTTCGGAGACAGCTTTAAATGATCTGTCGCATTCGAATTCTTATGATTGTCTAAGTTTCCAAAGACGCATCTTGTTGACATGCTCAACAGATCTGGAGACGAGGCTCGTGGGAGGAGGAAGTGGAGAGTTTTCGCCTCTACACTGGAGAGTTCTCCGGCCCTCTTATCGATGATATGATTAGCGGAGACTAACTCCCCGCAGTCCTCTGGGCTTGTCAATGCACGAGCTTGATTAATGAGCCCCCCGCAAGTTTTATCTCTTTAAAAGGAGCTCTCACTAGAAGCTCGGTCGTTGCACGGAGATAGGCGAACAGGGTTGCGGGCCTTGTGGAAGTTATATGCTTAAAGACCAGGAAGTTTGAGAACACCGGACCACCGTCTCCATCCTCACACCTGACACTAAGGCCCGTACACAGAAATCGCATGTAAGTTGTTATTTTCTCCTCAAAGATGCGTTCCACGTCTTTTTTTCATGTAATATTTGACGGTTAATGTTTTGGCTTTTGAAAAGTAACTGACATTTCGAAAAACTGACATGATTTGGCAAATAGATACATTGAGACAGGTAACGTTCTGATGTACTGTGTGTGCATCTTAGAGAGCGCAAGGAAAGTATTGCCGATGGAATATGAACTCATTTTGGTCTCTGACAAGGGTTTTCTGTAAATTAATTGTAGCTCATTGTAATATGTTAACAGTAAACATATACATTAATATCCTGTCAGTCATCTATCTAGTTTTTCGAAAAGTAGTTGTCTTCTTTGAGACACATAAATTGATTTCTTTTGAGAAGTGACGGCCATTGCTTACAGTTAAGCTTTTCAATCAATGATTTACCATCAAAGGTCTGTAGCGTTATTCCAGAAATTTTATGGGGGCATTCGGAGGATTTGGTTTTCAGCGTGATAATGTCCCATACTATAAATTGTAAAATTACATAGAGTTTTCACATCTCTATACTCACTGGTACTTATTGGCTGGGTAAAAACATGTGTCGATGGAGCCGCGGCCGGTAGATGAAGACTGAGTATCTAGTCGCGAACACCTAGTGTCATCATTCATTCTCAGTCATCCACTGATATAATTTTCATTACCAAGTTTGCCTTTTATGCAATAAGGAATTTGTTTCGACAGATATTCGAGACTGAGATTTCTCTGGCGTTGAATTTATGTAAAAATGTAAGAGGGCATTTCAGTAAATGTAAATGCCTTTTATGCAATATAGAATTTGTTTCGACAAATATTCGAGACTGAGTTTACTCTGACGTTGAATATATGTAAAAGAAGTAAGAAGATATTTCAGTACATATTGAACAAGACGGTTTTCTGGATTTAGTATGGACCAAATGCATATGCATATCTTTAAATCTAACTAATGTATACAAGAAGAACAGACTGTCCATTTGTCTAATCAAGTACTTATATCGAGACCATCCCTCTATCATTTGGTTTCACAAGCTTTTTCATCCATTATATGATGTTAACACTACATTGCTTATGGGATATAATGATGTGCTTATTCCGAATAAACCTTGTAGAATTTCTTTTGTAAAATATTTCCAAAACGACAGAAGTAAGATAACGTTTGTTTTATTTGTCTGTTGTTTAAGACCGCAGCAATATATATGCCAATTACATGACGACAATCTGTAAATAATCGAGCCTGGGCCAGACAATCCCGTGATTGACACCATGAGCATCGATCCTCGCAACTGGGATACGATGGCATGCAGTCAACCAAGTCAGCGAGACCCCCCCCCCCCCCCCCCCAAGTCACGTTTCTTGGGATCTATTCTATCCCCAAAATCTACATTAAATAACTAAAAACATTCCTCTGAAATGTTTTGGTGGAAGGACTCATGCCTTTGAATCGATCAGAATCCTTGGAGTGTTTTTCAACCAAACCTATTTTACTTTTAAAGGTTAAACGCACAAAACCGTAAGCAGTTCGCGTTGTTTGTTTTGCGAAAATTGGTTCTACGTTCCATGAAAACTTGCTTGGAAACACATTAAAAAAACAGAAAGCACATAACGAAATTCAGTCGCCTTGATATTGAATTTATATTGACTTTATAAATGTAAATTAGGTTTAAATTTGAATATTGCATTTTACCATTAAAATTTGTTTCCGTGGATAGTTCTTCAAGAGGAAGTATTTTAGACATTATAAGCCTGTTGTGGCTGGAGTTGTTACCTTCACACACGGGCGTCAGGATGAACAATAAACAGGAAAGGTCTCGTACAACATTATGCACTGAAAAACGTTCATACCATTGTAAATGAGGGGGTCGCGATTTTCTCTGACAAAGTCTTTGACACGGGCATATATGTTAATGGTCCACTCACCGATTTGTTTGGCCAGACTAGATTATCTGCATAGAGACGCGAGATGGCTTAAATAATGCTGAGTGTCACTCACTCACTCACTCACTCTTCTTTTAACAAAAGCTCCATGTTTTGAACAGTTTTCGTAACCGTATTCGATATATTCACGTAAAGACGACATAATCATATGAGTTTAAAACCCCATTTTTTAGAAAGTTTAGCCCATAGTTTCTGTGTATATTTACATGCATCTACATATCTGTGCAATAGAGCATACTGGTGTCCACATATCTGTGGAATATAGTCTTTTGTTGTCTTCATATCTGTGCAATATCGTCTATTGTTGTTTCCATATCTGTGCAGTAGAGCCTAGTTTTCTCTACATACCTCAGCAATAGAGTCTATTGATGTCTGTATTCCCTGCACTAGAATCTACATAACTCAGCTTCTTTGTCTCTGACCGTGCTCTAACTACATTGTTAGTTTAACACCACTTGGCAATGACGGAACTTCTTTTCCCCTATCATTTACCTTCATGATAGAACAATTTCATAAAAAAAGCGCATGTTGCCAGCTGGATTCGAACCCACGAAGTCCTCACGGACGGCTAACGAATGTAGTCTTCTTCGACGGCTTCATGGGAGAAATGTATGAAATTAACACCTAAATATTTACTGACATCAGGACTAATTGATTATCAGTTGATGAACTGTGATATTTGTGTTTTATGCCGTTTTTATACAGTGTGTTACTCTACGCATTGTAGTATTTGTATGTACTTGTGAAACGAACAGATAGAACTTGGCAAGTCATGTTAAGGTGATTGGTAAATGTGCTCGAGTTTTGTAGGTGCTATAAATTGTGGACATGGTGTAAATAGGTTAGAACATACATAGAGTGATTTGGTAGCTGTTATTTCAACGAAACGAACAGATAGAACTTGGCAAGTAATGTTAAGGTGATTGGTAAATGTGCTCTAGGTTTGTAGGTGCTATAAATGGTGGACATGGTGTAAATAGGTTAGAACATACATAGAGTCTATTGTTGTCTACATACGTCTGGAAGAGACACAGAGTCTGTGGGTGTTCAACGTATCGTGAGTGAGTGAGTGAGTGAGTGAGTTTGGTTTTACGCCGCTTTTAGCAATATTCCAGCAATATCACGGCGGGGGACACCAGAAATGGGCTTCACACATTGTACCCATGTCGGCAATCGAACCCGGGTCTTCAGCGTGACGAGCGAACGCTTTAACCACTAGGCTACCCGACCGCCCCTCAACGTATCGTGAAAACAGAACCGATTCTTTCTCAACAAGCCTTTGAAACAGAATCTAATCCATAAATACCTAGAATACAGTTCTATCCACAGACCCAATGAAGCAAAACCAGAACAACATGTGCCTTTCACTGGAATACAAATTTTCAAGAGACAGGGATACTGGTGCAGGAACCGCATTTCGAGTCGCGTCCCTTAGTCACACCAGAATCTTATGATCGTGCGTTTGAATCACCGATTCGCCTTGAATATTGGTCTTAGTTAGTCAGCAGCATTGTCAAAGCAGCATTGTCAAAGTGGCAACCCCCCTCCCCCACCCCCCAAATAACAATACGTTCCTTCAACACGAAGCTGACGCGCCGTGATATCATAGCTATGCCCATGCATGGTCAGGTCACCATATAACATTATGGTCTGTAATCATCAATATTGTCAAGTTGTATTCAAATAAGGCAGTAAACACCCTATATAAACAACCAACAAAAGAAAGTATTCACTTGAAAAAGAATATTGACCAAAACATTACAAACACATCAAAGACGTCACTAGGCTGAAAACACTCGCCGGGCCACTGCAAAGTTTTAAGGTCAATATCGCCTGGGACACCCGTATAAAATACATCACCAATAAAATATCATTTCATTGTCTCAGTGTTAGTCATCACCAACCACTTTCTGTTACCCGACAGTTTATATGTTGCAATACATAAACGCTGTACGATGCAACCGAAAATATAATCCTCACTTCTAATGTGCATATAGTGATATTTTCTTGTGGCTCTTTTAAATAAAACATGAGCAAATGTCAGGTATGATTTATTATTGAGAATATATTAAATTGTGTATCCTGAATGCCCGTGTATTGATCGATAAACATACATGTGCTCAATCATAAATCTCACACAGGAAGAATATTTGTGATGTATTTAGGCATGTGATCATTAGGGGAAAGATCCCCATTTCTATAGGAATGCCTATTCCTACATCGATATGTATACCGCCATCTGGCACAAATCCAAATGTATTCCATATTTTTTATGTATGTATACATGTAGCTTTCAAAACATTGCATGACAGACGTGTGTGTGTGTGTGTGTGTGTGTGTGTGTGACAAAAATTATGCTTGACTCATTTTTCTGACTCCCTATTTTGACTTGTACCATATGTTCCCGTTTTTTAGGTGAACAGATGACTTGCCTTTGCGTGTGTTTGTGACGATTGGTACAGGTGGGGAAGGATACGCCCACCAATCCGCGAACATCTGGTACCATTACTATATGTTAGTGATTCATAGACACATGCTTATGATATAGTCGGAATCGTAAATTGAATTTTGGTAGATATTTCTTATGATTGTGAAAATTATCTTTGTCAGTTTTCTTTGTTTGAAGAAACAACCCTTTCATGCAGAGTTGCATCCTTCATCTGTGTCAGGATCCCATGAAAGTAGGTTTGAATCCCAAAATCGCCCAAATTACAGTTGCCAGTCATAAGTCATGCTTGTGCTTTGGATGTCATCATGAGTGAGTGAGTGAGTTTGGTCTAACGCCGCTTTTAACAGTATTCCAGTTATATCGCGGCGTGTCAGCTTAATGTGGGAGTAAAGCCCGAAGTGATGCAGGTCTCAGACGTTTACCACTTCGGTGAAACCCACGAGCACGGGTATAGTGCTGACAAACCTAGAAACATAATCGGGGCGAACCGGGATTCGAACCCACAATTATAGGTTTCTGGCACGCCCAAGGGACGCAACTCTGCACATCGAATCGCGGCGCCTTAGACGACTGGGCCACCCGTGCCCCCCGATCTCATCATTAAGGCGGTAAACGTGCAGAACCTTCTGAATGTCACTATAGGCATTTCCCGCAGCATTCTCAATTGAAATCAAATCGACGTTAAATCCCACTCACTCACTCAGTAAATTCAAATGTAAAATAGTGACGACACCAGATTTTCGCGAAAAGGTGCACCAGGTTTGTTGAGATGATGAGAGACATTGTTCAAATAGTGTTCGAACCGTCCACCTCCTTAAGCCCATCAGATTTAATAAAAGTTAAATATTTGCGGCTTTGGTGTCACACGTTTTAATTACTTTTAATTAAAAGTTAAATTAGTGACGACACCAGGTGTTCGCGAAAAGGGTAGTCATGTCCTGCTCTACCGGCAGCACCCGCCACTCACACAATTGTTATTAAGACAATAAGTGCCTGAGTGTAAAGAGTGGAACAGTCATAGCATTGGACAGCATCGGGCACCATGTTGACAAGCGGCGTGTAATATTTATTGATTTCCTCTGAATGTCTACCATAAAAATTCCGGAATGACTTAACCAGATCTTTGATGGTGAAACGTTGATGTCAAGCTCAGTTGTGAGCAAAACGTGCCTGTCCATGATATTTGCATAAAATGAAATTGCTCTAAAGTACCTCAACAAAAAGTATTGACAAATGTAGACTCCTTAAGCTGGAGCCCATTGTATATTGTTGGACATAAAGCGGGAATTCACGATTAAATTAAAATAATCGATACTGTCGATCAGATAATCCAGTAACTCACATATTTGGATATCTTAATGTTTATGAGTTACTGTAGTCTTACAAAATGGACCACATCTATTATAAATTGTACTAAAATAATATTTTCGAATCCCTTTCTTTGAAACTAAAACCCTATTCATGAGAGAATGTAATATCTCTTTCAGTTTGTATTGAAAGACAGTTGTGTAGAGGGGGCACAAATCATTAGGTTTTATGCCTGAAATTGTTTTCCTGATCTGAGATTGTATTACTTTGAGTGAATCTTCTCAATGTTTTAAGTTCCAGATGTGATTGACTCCACTTGTTTGGATCATTCTTGCTGTTTATTTACAGTTGATGTAATTAAGATTATTTGGGGACAGGTCTTAATGTAGGCACCAGCCCATTTAACGAACCACTTTATATATAAATAAATAATAATAAACATTTGCCATCATCATAAGAAACCTCTGCTGTTCACGATTCCGACTGTGTTATAGGAATTTGTTTATGAATCGCTACCAAATTTTGATGATACCAGGGTCTAGTCAAAATAAGGAATTGCATCAGATGTCATTTTTGTAACTGGTGCGTCAATTTTGGAAACGTCCATTACATGTCTACCATAAAACCTTTTGAGAAAGTGAGTTGGGTTTAATGCCGCTTTTAACAGTATTCCAGTTATATCACGGCGTGTCAGCTTAATGGGGGTGGAAAGCTCGAGGTGATGCAGGTCTCAGACGTTTACCACTTCGGTGAAACCCACGAGCACGGGTATGGTGCTGACAAAGCTAGAAACATAATCGGGGCGAACCGGGATTCGAACCCACAATCATAGGTTTCTGGCGTGCCCAAGGGACGCAACTCTGCACATCGAATCGCGGTGCCTTAAACGACTGGGCCACCCGTGCCCCTAAAACCATTTGAAACTTTCAAAGATTTTTATTGCTGTAAGTGATCAAAAGAGCATTCTTTGCAATGTGTTGACACCAAAAGTTGGTGCTGCAGGAATACTGCTCGACATAAAGGGAAAGTTGGGTTTGGGAGAGTTGAAGTCATCCCTCTAGTCTTGTTGAAACATTTTGTCACTCTGAATCTGTATACATAGATCTAAATAAGAAACAGATGAGGCGGTCATTTTGTTTCTAGCTTAGGTGGATAAATACGTGGAAGGGAATTCGTTATTTGACCATTACTGAACAATGTCAGGTGATCGATTTACCTCAAGCGTAAGTTAAACTTCTTGGCCAAATTCCCGTGTTTTGATCTTGCCAGCCCGAGCAGTATTTCTGTTTCTTATGCATAAAGAAACAGATTAGCAAGAAGGGGAGCACCCTTTGTGCCCATGGGGATGCCTGCTTCTTGACTAAACGTTGAAGAAACAATTATTGTCGAATTAGGACAACACGAGAAAAAACTCGTGTTGCTTTAGACTCTCAAGGTACATTTCTTCCTGCTTAAACATTAAACAATTCCTCAAACCATCCTTTAACTGACCCTTACGGAATTGCTCTTCTTTTGGAAAGACACAAATATGCCAATTTTGCTTACAATATGTGTCTGTTTCTTTGGTTTCTCGGTTAAAACATCATCACTATGGATCAATCAGTCCACTATTAATTATTAACAATTGTCATCGCATTAGAGTGTCTTATTCAGATCGAATCTCATGGAGAGTTATTATCTGTCATATTATTGCACCGACACCTTGCTGCAGTATTACGGGCCAGTCCTGGTGTTGGGGGTGAGCGTGTTTAATTGCCTCACAGACAGCGGAGGTCATTCACAGGAAGAACTTCAATCATATCTGCCCCCCACGAAACAACTCTTAAAAGTTCTTCACATAATTTTAAGGGATATAGGACTGAATGTTTACTTTACCTTTACGTAAGTGCTTCTTCAAGTGCTTCTTTACGTAAAGCTTTCAAAGTGATTTTTTTTAAATATATATTTACATTATTACTTTTCCATTGACCGAGATACAAAAACGACTACCATCTTAACATATATAATATTAATTTAAAATGCCTTAATACCTTCTGAATTGGGGTTTACCATAACGGTAAAACATATATGCATCCACTGTGGTTGGGAGCGGGTACCGTAAGGCAGGTGCCTCGTTACTGTTACGGAGATAAACGTTGTAGTCCTTATTTACTTTAGTATTGCCCTGAGCACTTGGAACATAACACTTTTCTCTCTGAGTATCAACACGGGGATTTGGCTAATATGTGTAAATAGATTATAGGGACGACTTGTCATTTAATTTGTTCACAAGGCTCTCATAGTACAGCTCTTCAAAGGATGTACCAATCGATGAACCAGAAGAAGGAGAAATAGGTTTGTCTGAGAGACTGGTTCCCGGAATATCCCGGAACATATGTTTTTCTGCTAGCTCATTTATACAAATAAATGTGACAAACCCCTTTCCAAATTGATAACACATGTTTGTTGACCGCCATACAAACAAGAAAACATGTTGTACACTGGCATGTACAAAAAGCAAATATGTTTGTAGAAGGCATATATATATAAATATGTTTATATATTGACTTATATACAAGAAAGCATGCTAGTGGATCGGCAAATAAAGGAGTATACATGTGTGTAGGTTGGCATATAAACAGCCCTCGTGTTCAAAGGCTGGTATGTAAACAAATACACATGTTGGTAGACCGGTAAATAAACAAGAAAACATGTTAGTAAGCTGGTAAATAATCAAGAAAACATGTTGGTAGACTGATAAATAAACAAATACACGTGTTGGTAGACTGATAAATAAACAAATACACGTGTTGGTAAACTGGTAAATAAACAAGAAAACATGTTGGTAGACTGGTAAATAACAAGTACACATGTTGGTCGACTGATAAATAAACAAATACACGTGTTGGTAAACTGGTAGATAAACAAGTACACATGTTGGTAGACTGGTAAATAAACAAATACACGTGTGTTTACCACTCAGCACGGGTATGGTAATGACAGGCAAAAGATAATCATTTTAGCGGATCTGCAGTCTGACGAGAAACTGTGCATGTTGACGCCTCATGTAGACGGGCATCCTTCGAATGGGTAAAGCCCATTTTCTGCGTTCACTTTCAAATTTCCTATTTCAAAGACATTCAAGTTTTTATTGATAACTTTGTTGTATAGTGTAGTTTTGTTTCAAATGACTTTAGTCTCATAATTACATAATAAGGTTTAATTTTTATGAAACAGTGCGCCAGAAAATATAACAAAATGTGCCTTTTTAAAGGGATTGCAGATGGGTGACACGCGGCATATTTTTAAACAAAACACATTGGTAGTTTGAACACGTCGACAAAATGCAAAACCAAATTGAATAGTCTTGTATGTTTTGTTCTTAGGTTTATAAAGGCAATTGCTATGTGTGAAACTGATCCCAATACTTAAGCGACCTGTCCTCCTGCGAATCTATCTGTTTGTAAAAGTAATTAGACGCAACTGTACCCTAAGGACTTCCTCAGCTTTCATTAGTGCAATATTGGCATAAAGAGCATTATCCAAGGGACATAATTATACACATTTACCAAGCCATTCTCTATAATGAGATGTATTGCTTCGCATGGTAGTAATTGATTGATGTCAGGTGTTTGTGCATATGTATTAATCAATTGTTTGTTTTTCAGATAATGAAGTTGGCCGAGATCGTTCTCTGTATAACCACTGTCCTTCTTTTGACCTTCACAACTGGAAATGGCGCTCCCCAGTGGCGACCCCAAGGACGATTTGGAAAGAGGGTACAAAACAACTTGCCACTTCTTATAAATGAAGGTAGGTACCTCTCTGAATTATTAAGCAACAAGCACAGACATCCAGTCGTCATAAAGCGACACGTGCCATAGCAGTGTTACTAAATAATTACCAAACATTCCCACATTTAGCCATACATCAGTTACTTAACTCGGACACCTCTTCCCCAACCATCAAGTAAATAGACAACACAAGACTGGATGTCATGTATGTGTTGTCCAGGGACTGGCGGTCTAGCGCTTCTTAATCATGTTGTTAGGTGAGGTGAAATTGGGTTTAACGTCCCGTCCAAGATTATTGCACTTATATAGCGACGTGCATGCACGTGTGTGTGGCTGCTTGTACTAGTCCAGCCTGATGCCGATTTATAGTGCTCGCCAACTGAGATACCATGCCGCAGTTTAACATGAATACCCCACTCGGACACAGTATACTGACTCCGAGCCGACCAGTCCTTGTTTTAGCCCCTTAATGCCGAGCGCCAGACAGGGTACCAACAAGTACCATCTTTTAACGTCTTTTGGTATGACGTGGCCGGGGATCGAACCCCGGACCTTCCGCTCTCAGGGCGGACGCTCTACCACTAGACAACGGAGGCGGTCAATCATGTTGTTAATACATGTAAAACCCTTGTAAAAGTTTGACACAAACAGTAATGATGATATTGCCTACAATAATATGACCACCGTAAAAAAATAGATTATCTTGCAGAATAGTTTTTACTGAGTCCAGATAATCTAAAATGAACCTTGCACATCTCAGAAAGAAGTTCTTCTGTCTTTTACGACCACCATGGTTCCTCATGGCCTTCATGGCATTAGTCCTGAATGACTGGCATAGAGATTGAAGGAAATCTTTCATTCACTTTCTTGGAATGGTTATCACCACATGTGTCGTTCCATGAAAAAATTCTTACATATTTTTTTTTTACATGAGAGTCTTGATTTTGAAACAACAAAAACCATTGTCTTTATTTTGTCTGGTAGTGTCAGTTTGGTGTATGACATGTGTCGTTTCATGAATAAAATTCTTACATATTTATATTTTTCTAAAAATGAGAGTCTTGCCTTTGAAACAACAAGAACCATTGTCTTAATTTTGCCTGGTGGTATAAATATGAAAATAGGTTTATTTCGACAACCGTTCTTGGGATTTCAAATGCACCACCATTTTACATGTCATGAATAGAAATAAATTCAAACTAAAACCTGTCTTCTCTTTTGAAAACAAAAAGAATAGCGTATCCAAGTTTACCGTGCCGTTTAGCATGGCGCTAGCGTTTGCTTTACGTAACAGGATCGTCTCTAATAGACAGTGGCGTCTCCTACACATAGAACTAACCTGCTTATGTGGCTGAAACATCTATACTGGAGTTAGTTTATGTACAAGGCAAGGCAATAACTGAAGTACTAATTATATAGCAGATATAGTGTTACAATGACGTTTTTGATTTGAGTTATTTGGGGGGGGGCTAAGTCTTGCTTGACAACGGTTTAAGGATCTTTACCGAAACGTCGCCTTTACATTAATTAAAGAAGTTGTTATCCATACATTGTGTCTTCTTTGAATATTTTGTTCCTTTAAAATATTTACTTTCCTTACGTCGTGAAAGGCCATTGATTACTTCTAAAAATATATAATTATTTTGGTAATAATCTTAGTAGATTTCCCATCTGTGAACTCACAGGGTGAGCAGTCCAGTTAATTGACCAGGTAATTAATAAGGCTCTTATATTTAATTATAATCAATAGCGCATCAAAACAGATCCTGCAGTGCTTCTGCCTCCCTGCTGGTACAGTGAGATGAGACTAGAGAACCCATCAGGGGTTATGATATCATTATCGACTAATATTCCAGTCATTATTAAGTAATTACATACGGGTATTAGCTTCGCCTCGTTCCGGAGACCCTGTGGTATGGTGCGTCTTGTCCAAAACATGACATTTGTTTCGTCGGAATGATCAAAAGGGCAAGATCAGCGGCATGTACATTCCATACTCGGAGTCGATATTTAACATCCTATTAAACAGCATGCACAATTGCATGTAATCTATTTTAACTAACACATTTTGTTTTCTGCAACTAAGCCGAATGCAGAACTAGAGGCCAAAATACTAACCCATGACCATTAAATGTATGGTTGTGTTTGTAGTATATCCTCTGGAATACTGGAAGGGTCGTTCTGAAGTTTCGCATTGTCGTGCTTTGAATAATTTATTTGGCGTTCAAAGCGATATAATATCCTTTCTACAAGGTATTTAGAAATCAATTACATCTTAAACCATGGAATTTACCACCTGTGCTTAAACATGTGCATTGGACAAAATACAGTTATATAGGTATCTTTTGACGTATTAATCCAATAATGCAGACAGGATATCAGGGTTACAACATTCAAGGCCCCGGGAATGCTTTCCAAATGCTCTATGATTTGAGGACTTCAGCCAAGGATTTTAACTTCAGGTATATGGATGATCTATTGGCGTTCAATAATGGTCAAATAACCAATTCCTTTCTACTGATTTACCCACCTGCGCCACCGGTGGCACCTGTCCAAAACACATACAAAGAAATCAATTGTTCACCTGAAAAACACGGGAACATGTGCTACAAGTCAAGAGGAAATAGCATCTGGCAATGATGCGTCAGTTTTAGAAATGTCCTCCACATGTCATGAAAACTCATAAAACGTTTTGAAAGCTGAACTAAGGCATTATGTGTTGTAAACCTGATCGAACAACGTTTGAGCAAGACTCGTATGACGCTCTTTGAAATCTTCGAAGAAAGATCATCTCGATTGTGCCTCAAACGTTGTGAAATGTAGACACTGAAGACTGGACCTGCTTGTATATTGTTCGACATGAAGGGAAAGTTGACTGTCTTCTCGTTTGCGTTTTACATACTGACTTGTTTTATCACGATCTCGTGATTGTCTGCTGTACTGAGTACTACTATAGGAAAACTACCCATGGTGTAAAGTTTCGTTCAACGATATTCAACACTACTCATATTGCGTACAATCTAAACTCAAGCAATCATAACAGTAATATTCCAAGATTGTCATTGCTTTTGTTCTGTCCATGACTGTAATAAATAGGACCGCCTCCGTGGTAGAGCGTCCGCCAGGCGCTCGGCATTAGGGTCCATAAACAAGGACTGGTCGGCTCAGAGTCAGTATATTGTGTCTGAGTGGGGTATTCATGTTAAACTACGACATGTTGTCTCAGTTGGCTAGCATTATAAAATCGGCATTAGTCTGGACTAGTACAAGCAGCCACACATACACACACGTGCGCGTGCATGCACGTCACATAAGTGCAATAATCTTGGACGCGACGTTACCAACGTCACCTCCCCTCACCTCACATGTAAAATAACTGGTTGCAGTTTCCATTAGCGCCAGCTAGTCAACTTAACATGCCATTCAAGAAATGTGTATGGAATTCGCATGACATTCATTCCAATCTTTATAAATAATCATTATTTGAGTTGAAATTGATATCCAATTATTCCGTTAAAATTGACAGCTTTATCAAAATAATCAAAACTGCTGTCAATTTCTTAGTGACCTTAAATCCAATGACGAGAGGAAACTCTGGTAATTTGAACTTCATGGCTATGGACACAAGCAATGCTGTACGACCTTCGCGAACTAGGCAATAAAGTATATCGTGGTCTTTCAAGCTCTAACTTGGTAGTTCTAGGCATCGTACATACTACAGTAAAAGCATATTCATGCTGTACCAGGTGTTTGTCAATTTGAGACAAAAATAACACCTTGCTCGTGAGGAACGAATTGTCACGTGAAATGGTGAAATGATATTGCTCTAATGGCTTTGTTCACGCTCTCATACATGTTATGAGTTGCGTCCCTTGGCACGCCAGAAACCTATGATTGTGGGTTCGAATCCCGGTTCGCCCCGATTATGTTTCTAGGTTTGTCAGCACCATATCCGTGCTCGTGGGTTTCACCGAAGTGGTAAACATCTGAGACCTGCATCACTTCGGGCTCTCCTCCCACATTAAGCTGACACGCCGTGATATGACTGGAATACTGTTAATCCGGTCTCCTGGTATCAGATGTTTATTATTTTATTCCGTAATTATAAGTGCTGTAAATACAGTAAACACCTTTAAACAGCTGCATAAATAACGATCATGATAATATGTCGCTGAATGTCTGAAAACGAACCATGTGTTTATGCTCTCCTATCAGACACAAACATATGTTCCTGTAAATATGAAACGAAGCATTTTTCATGATTTCATTTCAAACATTATCGAGGCCGTCTCCATGGTGTGGTGGTAGAATGTCCGCCCTGAGATCCCCGACCGCGTCATTCCAAAAGACGTTAGAAAATATGGTACTTGTTGTTACCCTGCTTGGCGCTCGGATAAAGGGGCTAAAATAAGGACTGGTCGGAACGGAGTCAGTATACTGTGTCTGAGTTGGGTATTCATGTTAAACTGCGGCATGGTATTTCAATGGACTAGCACCATAAAATCAGCATTAGTCCGGACTAGTACAAGCAGCTACACACACACACACGCACGCACGCACGCACGCACACACACACACACACGAACACACACACGCGTGCATGCACGTCGCTATATAAGTGCAATAATCTTGAACGCGACGTTAAACCCCATTTCACCACACCACCTCAAACATTATGGTAATGAAAGTCGGAAAAGGAAAACAAAATATACTATACAATTATTGTTGACAGTACATACACGCAGCTAGTATGAACAGCTTACCTATATGAACAGCTTACCTATATGGTGGGGTAGCCTTGTGGTTTAAGCGATGGCTCGTTAGCTGAAGACCGTGATTTGTTTCTCAACATTTCCGATTTGTCCTACTTTGGTATTGCTCAAAGAGTAACACCTTACTCGCCCACTCTTGTTAGCAAACAGAATGTAAACGGTCACTTTAGAATTTCCTCACATGATCAAATAATAAAATTGACACGACCCTTTCAATATTCATAAGATTTTACGATTCCGACTATTT